GGCGGCGGCAGCGCGGCCCTCCGTGAGCGTGGAGCTCCCTCCCGGGTGGCCGGGGAGAGGGTAAGGCAGCCGAGTCGCCGGCTGAAAACCTTCCCAGAGTTTACAAGATCTGACAAGTAGCTACGTAGGTAAACCATTTCAATTAGATTTTTGCGAAGGGAAACGTTTAAATTAATCAGCTTGCCTTTACAAATAAGACTTTAAAAAGATATTATTTGTGATTTAATGAAGCCAAGGTTAATTATGGCCTAGGTTATTTCAGAAGCTGTGTTTTTCAGTAGTAATTATTCTAGAAACAGAGTGCTATTTATATACCCAGACTAGAATATTTAAAAAAAATGATTCATCATCAGCCTTACCCTTAGTTTTACAGAACACAGAGTGAATCTTTCCCTGTATGAAAATTTGCATTAATCCATATGTATTTATGTCTAAGTTTTGTACATGCAAATTATGGCTACAAAATTACACCAAATGTTAATTTTCATGAACTCTGAACAATTTCTTCTGCTATCTTTTTTCCTCAGAGTAGGTGTTAGTTAATATCATGCACGTTCAGGAGAAACAGCAATATATACCTTTTCAAGGGCCTGATCCCACGAACAATAGGATTCCTCCTGCTGCTCTGAAAGCTTAGCGAGGAGGTATGAAAAAAATCTTTGTGGAAATGGGAAGAAGAGGACTTTAAAACAAAACTCCACCCACATAGACACCAGAGGAAAATAAAAATCTCTAAATAATGGCGGGTTGATTTATTGGCAAAGATTAACTCTGAACGATTGGATCTTCTTACATTTGCAAAAGCTCAGTGTCCTATATTGGAGCTTATTCATATTCATGGAAGTGACAGTAGTTGGCTGCCTGAACAATTGCTTTCAACAGTGTCTCTTAGAAGTAAAACTTTATGAAACTATTCTGAATGCCCTGGGATCTGAGCTGACAGTGGACAGAGTCCCTTTGCTCAGTTTTGTTGAAAGCAGGAAAGCATGACCAACTGGAGGATTCTTCTTGATCTAGTACGATTTTTTTTTTTTTAAATTGGTTTATTTGCTAAAAATGAAGATTAGTATTGCATTTATGAAGACTACTAAGAAAATTAAATTTCTCTGTTGAAAATCCATGCTGAAGTCATAGAAAAGACTCTGGTCAGGTTTTTAATCTTTTTGATACAGAATCTTTGTTCTACCTGAATATATGTAAATAAAGATGTTTCTTCCTATCCCTTCCAATATGCTCTTTCAGGGCTCATGTGTCCATTGCAATTAGTATTGCTCTTTGATGAACTGATCCTACGCTGGAGAATTAAGGAAGCGGTTGATGAATGTTCACAATTCCAAAGAGAAATTGTTCTCTGTCACTACTTCATTAAGGCATATCAATGTGTCTTCTTTTGGGAGGACTGCGAAATGATCCTATCTGCGAGTAAAACCTTGCCACGGTGGGAGAGCTAAGAGAAGAGTATCAGACTTTGCTCAATTTCCTGGCTTTCTTTGTTGGTTCAGGTCAGGTCTTTTTTTTTATTTAAGATTTAATTTCCTACTTTTGAAACTGTTATACAACATGTTGACAGAATGATCCATGGGATGTACAAGTTGCCAGGGTATTCTTACCGAGTAGTGCCTCTCTGCCCAGTGTTACTTGGTGTCATTCTGACTATTCAAAATCTCGTTGTATCTCACTGTGCGGATGTCCTGCTCATTTTGGTAGAATATTGCATCAAGTAGTCAAAATAACCTGGAGCAAATCTGCTGCCTTGACTGCTTGCAGAATCTTGCTGCTGCTACATAAAATGCCTTGACATCCACATTATTCTTCTGCAGTGTCTTTCTAAGCAGCACCATGGAAATCAATGTTGCAAGCATTAGTTTCATAGCAATGGAACTTTTTATGGTAAAAACCAATCTGGAATAAAAATAGACCATTGTGATACTACCGCCGGAATAGTTCACGCAATCAAACCAATCACAAATATTGTTGTTATCTGAAGCGTCTTTTGCACAGTCTTGTGAGATGACATTGTAAATGGTTCCTTAAGTCCTTTTTAAAGAGTGCTGCAAGCAAGGACCTTCATTTCAATGATACTGTGCTGGTAAAATTATGGAAAGTCACCCCTCCATGTAACAAGCTCTATTACACAATAACAAGACTTTAATTACTGATGGGAGATAGGTTTTAACGTGTG